GAAACCCAAGGAGGGGTCGCTATGAGTCGGGGCCGACTCGATGGCAAATAACAACAACAACAACAACAATATATGACAACAATAGCACAAAGATGGGTATAAATGAACTATATTGCTGTAAGTATCTACATTTTAAGTGATGTAGGACAATATTAACTTTAACTAGTGTTTTGATAATTAAAGGACATATTTTTTAAATCATTAAAACAACCTCCTAAAACACAAAGAGGTATAGGTAAACAGCCAACAGATGAATTTCAGTGGAATATTCAATATTAAATATTAAATAAAAGGAGACCAGAAAGGAGACTAGAGAATAAGAAAAAAGAAATAATTGAAAATAAATAGGAACATAATAGAAATAAAACCAACCCTATCAATAATTACATTAAATAGGAATGAAGTAAGCACCTCCAATTAGAATTGTCAGACTGAATAAAACAGAAATATTCAACTATAACTTATTTACAAGAAGTACACTCAAAGTAGAAACACAACCAGGTAAGGAAAATGATGGGAAAGATACTCCATGCAAACAACAAGCATAAGAAATCTGAAGATGCCATATTGTTGTTGTTGTTGTTAGGTGTCATTGAGTCATCTCTGACTCATAGCGACCTTATGTACAACAGAATGAAACACTGCCCGGTCATGTGCCATCCTCACAATCTCTGCTATTGTTGAGCCCATCGTTGCTTCCACTATGTCAATCCATCTCATTGAGGGTCTTTCCCCTTTTTTTACTGATGCTCTACTTTACCAAGAATGATATCTTTCTCCAGGGAATGGTTCCTTCTGACAACATGACCAAAGTAGTTGAGACGAAATCTGGCCTTCTTGCTTCCAAGGAGCATTCTGGCTGCACTTCCTTGAGGATAGATTTGTTCATTCTTCTAGAAGTCCATGCTACATTCAATATTCTTTGCCAATGTCACAATTTAAATGCATCAGTTCTTCAGAAGCCTTCTTTATTCGTTTTCCAGCTCTCACATGCATATGAAGCAACTGAAAATCCCATGGCTTGGGTCAGAACTATCTTAGTCTTCAAAATGACACTTCTGCTTCTTTTGTGGGCTACATGTGGTTTTCTTCTTTTTTAACCATCCTTTTGTCATCTTTGAGTCATTTCTTACACATGACAACTCCGTGTGTACAGAGTAGAACTGCTCCATTGGGTTTTCAAGGCTGTAAACTTTCAGAAACAGATCACCAGGCCTGTCTTCCTAGGTGCCTCTGAGTGGGTTTGAACTGCCAACTTTTTTGGCTAATAGTCAAGTGTTTAACCATTAGCGCCACCCAGGAAACCTTTTACAACCTTTTAAGTACGTAAAAAGAAGCCCTGATGTTGCAGTGGTTAAGATTTTGTCTTCTAACCAAAAGGCTGTGGTTCAGACCCTCCAGCCACTGCATGGAAAGACAGATGTGGCACTCTGCTTCTGTAAAGATTATAGACTTAGAAACCCTATGGGACAGTTCTACTCTGTTATGTAGAGTTGCTATGAGCAGGAATTGATTCTACTGCAAGGGATAAATATGTACCATTCTCAGCTTGTGGGCTCTATAAAAACAGTTCAGATTTGCTTTGCAGTCTGTAGTTAGCTGACCCCTGGTATAGAATATCTGTATAACACTATCAACTATGCTGTTGTTGTTGTTATGTGCCGTCGAGTCTGAGCCGACTCATAGTGACCCCTCCTTGGGTTTCCGAGGCAGTATCACTACGGAAATAGATTGCCCCATCTTCCTTCTGAGGAGTGGCTGGTGGGTTTGAACTGCCAGCCTTCTGGTTAGCAGTCAAGTGCCTTAGGCACTACACTACCAGAGCTCCTATATTAATCTTGAAATTTATAAAACTTCAGAATAAACATTTTTCTCAAATGCATATGGAATATTCACCTAGATAGACCATGCGTTGTACTACAAAAAGAAGTCTAAATATATTGCAGAAGATTTTACAGACTGTGTTCTCAGACCATAATAATTTTTATTAAAAAACAGTAACTATAAAATATCCAGAAAAGTCCCAAATATTTGGAAGCTAAACAACACACCTCTAAACAACCCAAGAGAAATTATAATGGAAATTAGAAAATAGTTTTTATTTAATGACAATGAAAATACAACATCTAAATTTATGGCATGCTGTTAAAGCAGTAATTGTATAGGGAAACGTAAGCTTTCAATGCTTGCAGAGGAGAGAAAAGAAAGCAAATGGGGTAAAATGTAAATAGTGGATGAATCTGGGTAAAGATATTTCGGAGTTGCTTATATCATTCTTGTTATTTTTTGAAAAATATTTATTGTGATTTGGGTGAAAGTTTTCAGAGAAAATTCATTTTCCATACAGTAGTTCATACACATTTTGTTTCATGATATTGATTGTAATCCCCACAATATAACAGCTCTTCCCACTTCCTCCCTGTAGTTACCTCTTCCCTGTGTCCTTCTTTCTGACACATTACTGCCCCCTAAGCTATCTACTTGTGCAAATACTTATTTTTTGTATACATTAAAATTTTAACAAAATAAGAAATTCCAAAAAGTCCCCTGAATTTTATATTTAGCCAAGTTGTTATTCACATGTATGGGCATGAAGTAAAGACCGATATACAAGATTGGGTTGAGATTGTTGACTATCTTCCTTTCCATTCACACAATTCCTTGAAAAGACCCCCAAAATAATGAATATGTATGAAGTTCTGGAAAATTGTTAAAGGTAACATAAGCAAACAAGACATCTCATTAACTACTAAAAGACAGACATTATATAGAATCATATTTATGGGGACAATAGTGGGGAAAACCACAGCTGAAACAGAGATACTCTACATTGAAAGTGTACAAATCTGAAGAACAGTAAACAACAAATTAATTCATTATAGAATAAAATTAATTAAAGAATAGCTTTCAGAAGAGGAGGTTGAGTAGCTGGGTCCTCCCTCTCCCCTTTCATTTATCAAGGATCAGGTTGAAGGTTAGAAAGACATTTCTCTCTACACCAGTGGTTCTTAACTTTACCTGCACATTGAAATTGCCTGGGGAATTTTTTTTCCCCCAGGTATTTTATTGAACTTCAGTTTCACCCTCCTGCCAGAAATTCTGATTTAATAGGTCAGAAACATAGCCTAAGCATCAGATCTACATTAGGTACTATAGTAAAGGAGGCAGCCTAAACAAGAAATATACTTGCCTTATAAAACTTATTGGTATAGAGTAACTGAGAAGTTTGGTCTTGGTGTAAAAAATATGGCATGTAGCTCTAAGGAATAGGAGAGGATACAAAAATGTATCAAAATAATGTATTATTTCAAATAATCAATAAGTGGACGATTTAGTAAGTGAGTAATGAGTTAAAAAAAAAGAGAAAAACATAATACTGGAATATAACCACTCTATTTATAACAAAATACTTTCCAAGTAGATTAAAAAATTAAATCAAACATGGAAATCAAAAGACACAAGGAAAAAATACAGGTAGCTATTTTTATCATCTTAGGTAGTAGATAGATTGTTGTTGTTGTTATGTGCCGTCGAGTCATACCTGACTCATAGCGACCCCTCCTTGGGTTTCCGAGGCAGTATCACTACGGAAGTAGGATTGCCCAACCTTCCTTCCGAGGAGTGGCTGGTGGGTTTGAAACCGCCAGCCGTCTGGTTAGCAGGCAAGTGTCTTAGCCACTATGCTACCAGAGCTCCCAGTAGATAGATAGTCCTAACAAATATGCCACATTATTGAAGCCCTAAAGAAAACATAAATTCACTCAATAAAAATTCTAAACAATAAAGCACATTGTTAAACAGTTAGCAATACAGCTAAAAGTGAGAAAAATATTTATAGTGTACATTAAGACCAAAAAAATTCCTAAAAATAAAATTTAAAATTACTTTCACAGATGAAAGGGAAAAGGACTTAAGCATATCACACTTTTATAATAAAAAAAAAAAGAAAATGTAAAGCAGTAATATTCAAGTTACTACAGTAGCAATCTATAAATCAAATATTATTTTAAGATCCTGTACCAAAGAAAATTCTGACTAATAAATAACCTAATATCCTTGAGTTTGACGATCTATTCCATTCCGTTGTTTACAATAAATTTACTTACTAGCTTTTGTGCTTTCTTGACTGCTTGCAATCATTTCCTTTACAGATATTTTTGGTGCTCTCTTGCTACCATGTATGGTTGTTGTGGTAAGTCCCTTCAGTTCCCAGTGGGTCCAAAAGCTTTTTGGAGGTTTTAAACCTGTTAATGAAAAACATACATTTAGTAAAACAAATTAATATTTTAAAAATGTCTCTTTCCAAGAATTTTTATTATTGTCATACATTTCAACTTCACAAAAGCCCTGTAAGTATTGTCTGCCTAAAGTTGCAAATAGCAGAACTTCAATACAGAAGTGTCTTGTAATGTGAAACAGTGAATTAGCCAAGAGCTAAAACTCAATAGCATCTTCTAACTCATAACTTTAGGTACTTTTATAATTAAGGTCAGAAGATCTGGTCTCAAGAAGAAAATATGATTTACCAAAAAGAAGTCAGCCTCAGCCAAGAAATCAGTCCATTTACATCCACAAATGGACATAAAAGGAAGATAATCATTGTGAAAACTAGAACAAGACCTAAATAACCAACAACAGTAGATCTGTACAGTGGATTATGAAGTAGGTATTAAAAATATCTTGTAAATATTTATTTATACAGAAAGACACTCATGATATATTTTTTGTGAAGAATAATTTTACGTTTTTGTGTTTGATTATATACATATATAGCTATTGCCTAAATAGTAATACGATTATCTCTGAGTGTAGGTGATCATTATTTTTTCAAATATTGCTTATCTGTATCTCCTTTTTAAAATGACATTTATGAATCAATTAGAGTACTTGCTATGGATTGAACAGTGTTCCCTAAAAATGTGTGTCAACTTGGCTAGGCCATGATTCCCAGTATTGTGTGGCTTTCCTCCATTTTGTGATGTGTAATGTGTTGTAAATTCTAACCTCTATATGTTACTTAAAGGAGTTCTCTCTGGTGGGTAGTGGCTGAGGCATTTTGCTGTTAATCAGAAGTTCAGTGGTTCAAACCTACCAGCTGCTCTGCAGGAGGAAGATGAGTCAATCTATTTCTGAAAAGATTTACAGCCTTGGAAATCCAATGGGGGTCACTGTGAATTGGAATCGAATCAGTGGCAGGGGGTTTGGCTTTTTTATATGTTAATCAGGCAGGATGAATGTGAGGTATATCCTGAGTCACAGCCTTACAAGAGAGTGGGACTCAAGCCATATCCTTATTTAAGTCACACCTTATACTCAAGTCACACCCTTGCTTGAGTCACACCTTTTATCTTAAAAGAGATAAAAGGATAGAATTTGAGTAGAAAGGGACTACTACTACCAAGAAAGAAGAGCCATGAGAAGAGCTCATTCTTTGGATCCAGTGTCCCTGTGCTGAGAACCTCCTAGACTCAGGGGAAGACAGGTGCCAAGACACTGGAGATTTCCAAGAAATTCCCTAGAGCTGGTACCTTGAATTCTGACTTCTAGCCTCCTAAACTATGAGAAAATAAATTTATGTTTGTTAAAGCCATTCACTAGCAGTATTTCTATTATAGCAGCATTAGATAACTATGTTGTTGTTATGTGCCGTGGAGTCAGACCCGACTCATGGTAACCCATCCTTGGGTTTCTGAGGCAGTATCACTATAGAAGTAGATTGCCCCATCTTCTTTCCGAGGAGTGGCTGGTGGGTTTGAACCACCAGCCTTCTGGTTAGCAGTCAAGTGACTATGACAGTACTCAAAAATTAATTTAAGATGATCAAATTTTGTTACTTTTAATATGTGTAAGATTGGATTTAATCACCTAGGAATAAGAATGAGAATAATGTAAATTCCTTTCTATACTTCATATGATTGTTCTGTGGATCAATTGAGGTAATATATGTTAAAGTGCTTGAAAAATGTCATTGCATATACAAATATGAGCTAATATTATCACTATTTCTATATATCTATACATTATATTTTCTATACTCATAAATACAACTAGTACTTTCTTAGTTGTGAGTGTTCAATAAGGATTATTTGCTATATTAGACTATCAAATTAGAATTTTTAAGTGATTTTAGATACAGATTAACAATTAATCACCACTAGAAAAAATATGCAGAACTTTTCAGTTTGATTCATTTGAAGACTTCTTGATAGATTGTTTAATGTTGAATAATTCTTATATTTCTGGGACCAATCCTACCTAGTCCTCATATATTAAGAGAAATAAAATTTATTCCTTCAACAAACACTGGGTACTATGTGCTTGATACAAGGACACACAATTCAATACAACAAAGTTCCTTCCTACCTTTGAGGCAGACAGAAAACTATTTAGCTCAGTACCTGGTCCATAGCAAGCCCAAGTTCCTTTCTGCATTGTTCCCTTTTCAAGTAACTATTGGTTGAGCCATCACAACATTACAATATTAATTGCAAATTAAACAATTTGATCTAGTAACTAAACACAGACTCTTCCAAAGAATGGTATTAATTTAGGGCCCCAATCCTCAAATGAAGTGTGTTCTACATTTTTAACTTTGACAACTTCTATTAACTTTGCAAGCATCTATTCAAGGGTTTCCTAAGGAATATTTTTTTACCATACTGGGGTTAGAAATAATGGCATACAAATCAATGGGATTAGACACACAGATATCTTTGAAATTACATAGTAAATTATATATATTTTAATTTTTCATTTTTATTTAATTAAATTTAAACAGGCATATAAAGAGTCAAATCCACTGCCATCAAGTTGGATCCAACCCATAACAACCCCTCCTTGGGTTTCTGAGGCAGTATCACTACAGATGTAGATTGCCCAACCTCCTTCTGAGGAGTGGCTGGTGGGTTTGAACCACCAGCCTCCTGGTTAGCAGTCAAATGTCTTAGGCACTATCCCACTATCCCACCAGAGCTCCCATAAAGAGTCAAATATTATAGAACCCAGTAATTCCCTCACACATCCCCAATACTATATCTGCTTCCCAGAAACAATTGCCTTAATTTGTATTCACTTCCATATCTTACCTTCAAAAAGTAGTTATATGTAACTTCTTGATGTTTTAATTTTAGGCAGTATCTATTGACATCTCAATATAGGATACAAGGATTTAGCAATCTCTCATTTTCTTCTCTCACCATCATGAGTTCTATTCCAGCCACATAATTTCAAAGGTATTAAATTAAACTTTTCACTTGCTAACTTTCAATACTTAGATTAATACTCTATATATTTACATGTAAATACATGTAAAACCCTATTCACAGTTAAGGTGGTAACATTCTTTCTTGAGAAAATTTTTATTTCCCTGAAGTTAATAACTGATATTTTTGCTTATTTTTTAATATACTTATATTTAATTTCAAGGAGCTCTGGTGGTGTAGTGGATAAGGCATTTGCCTGCTAACTGGAAGGTCAGCAATTCAAACCCACCAGCTGCTCTGTGGAAGGAAGATGGGGCAATCTACTTCTGTAAAGATTTACAACCTCGGATACCCAATGGAGGTAGTTATGAGTCGGAATCGACCCGAGGGCAGTGAGTTTCATTTAGATAATTAATTTATCCAACTCCTCCCTGCTTCCCAATTGTCTGTGTTGCTTCTGAATACATTCAAATACATTAGTTACTCTCTCAATTAAATAATCTTGAAGACATCTCTTTCAAAGCTTTCTGTTGTGCTTCAGAATGAACTTTTTTGTTTGTTTGTTTTTAGGCTCAGTGTACAGCTGTCATCCAGGGAGCTCACTTCACCATTTTGGGGGGATTCAACAGTTCCTTCTGTTACAGTCCCTATTTCTTGGACCCTATCTTTCTTGTCCTGTTCCTTAATTCATTCTTTATTTTGTTTATGTGTCTTCTCCAATACCATCATAAGAAAGGATATATGCAAAGTAACTGTTTTTGGGACTTGCATATCTGAAAATGTCTTTAATTCAGCTTACACTTAACTTGGTAATTTGTTGTAGGGTGCTAAGTTATAAATTGTCCCTCAGAATTTTTAGGGCATTGTTCCATTGCCTTTTAGCTTTCAGAGCTGTTGCTAAGAAGGCTGACATCAACCTTTCTCTTGATCTTTCTGGTTCTTTGAAAGATTTAGTCATTTCTCTTTGTTCTTAGGGTTCTGAGGTTTCACAGTAATAAGCTGTTGTGTGCGTGTATTTTTATTAATTGTCCAAAGCATTGGATAATTCCTTTCAAATTTCAAGTCTGGGGAACTTTCTAAAAGTACTTTGATTTTTTCCTTCTTTACTCATTATGTGTTCTCTCTTTTTGGATATAGCACAGAAAATTCAGACCTAAAATATCAAAAAGCTGAAGGACCAGTTTCTTGTATCTTGAGAAGAATGCTTAGATTACTGATTATCAGCCTTTATTCTTCTCTAAATATGAATTTAGGGCCACAAATTACCCTCTAAATATCATTTTAGCTGCCATCTTATGTATTTTTATATGTAGGCTTTTTTTTAATTTAGTACAAAACTATTTTAAAATTTCCATTATGAAATCTTCTTTCACCAATGGGCTACTTAGACATATATATTTTTTCATTTTCTAAATACATGAAGACTTTTCTGTTCTACTTGTTTTTTGTCATGGTTTGTAACTCATTGCATTGTAGTGAGAAAACATGTTCTATATGATTTAAATAGCTTGAAATTTGTGGAGGTTTGATTTTTGGGTGAATATATGGAGAATTTGGAAATATTTCATTTTTTAATGTTTTATATATTATAGAGCTAACATTTATTTATTTATTGAATTTTTATTTTTAATTTTAAGAGTTTGTTTTATAGTCAACAATATATGTGTACATTTAGTTTCACTCTCCATTTACCATGCCCAACCCTAACCCATTCTCCTCCCCTCCCTGCTCAGTAGCACTACCCCTGTGTCCCTCATAGTTGTGCACTCCTGTTTGTCTTGCATTTCCTCAGTGTGAATGTTGCCCCTCTGGTGCCCTGTGGTCTATTGCTCTAAGGGATGTATTAACTTAGAGCATGTAGAGTATGTGGGGGTGTCATCCTGGGTTGAGTGGTCTGCACGTACATCTTGTTAACTACTGGGCTGAGAGCCAACCCCTGGGTTTTATTCCAAGAGCAGAATGTATTCTAGGGACAGAGTATTGGGTGTGTGTGGGGGGTGTCTCATTAGACTTCATCCGACCAGTAATTCTGGTCATTATTG